TCTTCAATTAGGTCAGGGCTAGCTTGGAATTGAGGTGACCGCTGCGAGACGGGGAGTTTGATCCTCGTGTTAGGGTTACCATTTTAGGTAACGGTTTTGTTCGTGCTTGACCGGCACTAGGGAATATTATTTTTGGGATGACTGTACATATATGGCGTTTTATTTTGTATTTAAGAAATTTAGTTATTTTATTCTTATCTATATTTGTATGTATAAGTTATCCAACTTAATATTTTCTTAGTTCACTAGTAGTAGTGCGATTCCACTAAGTATAGAGACCATGGCGGGTCGTTACAACAAAAACACCCATATTCGATTAATGCATCGTTACTTGAGATCTTTTAGAACAAATACTTATTTTGTTAAACTCCAAATTCTATAATTTAGAGTTCACAATCACTACAAAAAAAAGTCAATTTAGCCACCGAAATTAGCGACCGATTTTTTTCCGTCGCTAATAACGACATAATTAGCGAACGAATATGATTTGGTTGCAAATTTTATTTAGACAACCGAATTTTTAGTGGCCAACAATCGATCGCTAAACCGGTCGCTAAAATAATAATAATTGGTTAAAATAGCGACGAAACAATTTCGATCACTAAAAAAATAAAAAGTATTATTATTTATAATAACTTTAGCGACTAAATTAAAATCGTTCCCTAAAAAAATAAAAATATTATTATTTATAATAATTTTAGCGCCCAAATTAAAATCGGTCGCTAAAAAAATAAAATATATTATTATTTATAATAATTTTAGCGACCAAATTAAGACCGGTCACTAAAAAAATAAAAATATTATTGTTTATAATAATTTTAGCGACCGAATTAAAATCGGTCTCTAAAAAAATAAAAACATTATTATTTGTAATAATTTTAGTGACCAAATTAAAATTGGTCGCTAAAAAAATAAAAAATATTATTATTTATAATAATTTTTGTGACCAAATTAAGATAGGTTGCTAAAAAATAAAAATATTATTGTTTATAATAGTTTTAGCGACAAAATTAAAATCGATCGCTACAAAAAATAAAAATATTATTATTTATAATAGTTTTAGCGACCAAATTAAAATCAGCCACTAAAAAAATAAATAAAAAATATTATTATTATAATAATTTTAGCGACCAAATTAAAATCGGTCGCTAAAAAATAAAAAAAATTATTTTTTATAACAGTTGCAGCGAACAAATGAAAATCGATCGCTAAAAAAATTAAAATATTATTATTTATTTTTAACGACTAAATATAAATCGGTCGCTAAATGTAAATTTCTTAAAAAATTTAAAAATATATTTCTTTAAATGAAAGAAAATATAAAAATATAAAATATTATTTTTATAATGATAAAAATATTATTGATAAGAAATAAAAATCGTAACCCTCCCAATAAAATTAATTTATTTTTTGAAATAATACAAATTATATAATTTAAAATAGATAATTAATATATCATGATGTATTAAATTATGAGAAACATAATGCTATAAAAGAAAATTAAAAAATAATCTTTTTAATTGAATCTTTTTTAAAAAATTTGGACTAATTTAAATATTAATTTATCTAGAAAATTTATTTTTGTTTTCTTGAGAAATTATTTCTCTTTTATGATGCTTAATATTTTATTATTAGATAATATGAAAATACATAATTTATTGTGCTTTCCAATTTTGTTAATGTAAATAAACTTTTTTTCATAAATTTTATTTTATTTTAATTATTATTTTCAAAATTGACTTAAACATCTAGTTCAATTGATATAAACACATTAGTTCCATCAAATTAAAAATAATTGGCTTATATAAGGATTAATAAAAATTTATCAAACAAATCTAAAATTGATAAAATATAATTAATGTTCTATTAGTTTAATAAATAAAAATTATAAAATAAATTATATATATAAATATATACACCAATAACACATGAGATCAATTACTTAA